AGTGATTTTTTATTCTATAAATAGAACATAATTTGCTTCTAAATCACTACCTAATGAACTATATTATATAGTACAAAACTAAACAAGAATATCACATTATTCATGTTTTTTTTTAATTTCCTTAAAAAACGTCCCAAAAAAATGTGAATATTTATTATTGGAGTTTAATTCGTTATGCTAAAACAATACTAGAACAACTTAAATAATGTGGATTTTGACTATTTTGAGTTATACAGATCAATATGATCTAAAAAAATGTTTGTCTAGTGTTATAGTCTGGTATAAAAACATTCATTTATTTAAACACAGTTGCAATATACATTTTATTTAGTTTTTAAGTTAAAACCTATTAGGACATCCTAAAATGACTTTTTTCGTTTGATGTGAGATTAATTATTCTACATTTTTGTTGGTGAAATAGGATATATTAAGATGTCTTACTGTTTTCTCTGATTATCTAAAAAGTTAGAACAATATACAAAGACTGTTATAACAAAAAAGAGATATACCTTTACTCAGTTCAATTGTACGATAATTTAAAGCAGAAATCCAGAAAACTTTAAAAATGTGTTTAAATGTGTTTTTACTATAACAAGGACATAACTATTAAAAAAAATTGTCACATTAACATTAACGATAGGTTTTTATAATATATATTATACAAATCACAACGAATTACACAAAATGATATTATTAATAATTTAGCAATAAAAAAGTTAAGTACAATGATGACATTAAAAGTTGATTTTCTCGAAATCATTTTTTTTTTAAATTGTCTCAGTACCTACCTACTATTTTTCTAGCAGTGATATTATATGAATGTGCAATGTGTGATATCTTATATTTTAGGAATAAAATGATATATTTTTTGTAGGTTTCTGTTAATCAACGATTCCAAGAACTTTTGAAAATATTATTAAAACAGCCTTTGCAAATATAATTCTCAATTAAGAGCTTCTGATCCAATAACATATATAGTTTAAATAGACTGCTTATCCATACGTAAATAAAACGATGAAAAGTGGGTCGAACTGGGAAATGTTTTCTCTTTGTCTAGTGCATGCAATGTTTGTGTTTTGTCTCAATTTTGAGTGCTCACTGGTAAACAAACCTTCCACAGGACCGGTTTTAAAGAAAGTTTAGTCTAGTTGAGATTTTGTTCTCATTGTCATTACTCAGTCGGACATTTTGTTGAATTGTTTATTTTATTTAGTTTTAATTATACTTATGTTCTGTTTTAAGTTTTTTAATTATTTGAGTATAAAAACTTGTTTTGTTTTTAAATTTAACTGGTGAATTCCTCTATAAAGGTTTGTAAGACCAGCTACAGAAATATAAAAAGTAACATTTCATTTTTCACGCAAGTATCAATACAAGTAGGTACAAGGTAAATACGTTTATAATAATTTTACGAATTATAATTAATTATAATAATAATATTAATAATAATAAAGTATTTATTGTAAATACAATTACATAAATATTATTATATTCAAAGGCCCGAGTTAGAGCTATCTGGGCTTTACAAGTACATTTTAAAAGTTAGTTAGATACAGAGAAGTATCGTATAATAAAAACTCAATATAAATAGAAGAAAAACGGACATAAGTACCAATACAGAGAGACAAACACTTTTATTCTTTGATAGGTTCTTTCTATGTGAATTCTAGCTCTGACAATTTTGGCATTAAGTAAAGCCTCTTGATGGCTGAACTAATTTTTTTTATTGAGGAAAGGAGGCTGTGTAATTTGTATACCTTCAGCTTCTGTTATGTTTCCAATAAGAAAACCTTTGTTAAACATGTTACTATCGAGAAATGATTCACACACTTCAAGTATTGAACTTTGTTAAAAAATGTCTATTTCTGAAGTTTACCACCATATGCTTCACTTTTGTAAGTAATGAGACCAGTAGGTGACACTCCAGTCAATATTTTAATAGTATGCCTCTTTTTGTAGTCAGAGTAATTTTTTAGCCTACAACAAAGACATTTGGCTTGCTGTATTGGGATTTCGGTACAATCAAGTAGTAGTACTCTTACTTACATAGAGGCACATTATTTAATATTTCTTGTTTTGAAGGCCGAATTATACCATACTAAGAACTTCTACCAGTTTTATTAAAAACTGTTAAAAAATTTAACGATAAAAAGTTTCATTCACTCCAAATAAAATGAATAAAACATTGTATCTTGCATAGTAGATATATGTTCATTAACTGCAAAAACACATTAAACATAATAATAATAATTAACCAAACATTTTAAATTATGCATACGTACATTCATTGCCTGAAGAAGATAACTCAACACTTAACATTCTACTAGTACTGGCAACATATCATTATTAAAGACAGTAGCCATAATTCTTGTTTTAGCTGGATTACTTTTCTTTTTATTAATAGTCGCTTTCTTTTTACCACTAATCTGAGCTAACTTACATCGACTAAGCTTAGTTGTACGTTCTTTTTGTGATTGTAAGTCAGAATCTTTATTTCCCTCTTACCGATGCTAAGGTACACGGATCTTGACGTCAACTAAGATTGCACTTTGTACCTAGTCCATTTTACTATGATGTTGATCAGATTTCCACTGGTGGAATTTTATTATTATTCATCAAATCATTCACATTCACCGTCAAAATAATCCTTAATTGTCTAAAGGGACAAACTTTAGAATGTGAAAAAGCTACTAACTTTAAATCTTTAAAAAGTTCATTCAATTTTTGCATAATATCTGCTTTTATAATGCGAAATAAATTTTAAAAGAATAATCAAGTGTCCGAATAGTGCCACTATACAGTAGTCATGGTCTAAAGTTAGTTATATACACATGAGTGTAAAATTGTTTATATCTATGTTCAAAATTGGTTAGATCTCTTAAAATGTTTTGAAAATTGGGAAACTAGACGATTCTGCCTGGTGAGCACTCGGCAAGCCAAGCAATATGACCCGCTTTTCGTCGTCTTGTTTATATATGGATGAGCAGTCTATTAATCTATATATGTCATTGTTCTGATCTAACATTAAATTTTTATTCCCCAAAAGGTTACAGCTACCTAAGAAGAAAGTTTAACAAGACTCTTACCAGACCCAAAATATTAAAATGTTACCAAACATTATTATTTATTTTCAACAGGTCTGTTATTTTATAAACATAGAAATAACAACTTGTTCACAAATAACGTGTCTGTTAAAAATAACATTACGTGTCCATCATAACCCCTTATACCACTACATTATCAGCTTTATTTGTTATCCCGAGCAATTTAAATGCATTCGTAATTGCTCATTCTCACCTCTTCTCTTGTAGATTCCGTACTCAGTTTTCTTATTTTTACGTTTGCACTGCTCTTTTATTTTCACAGCTTTAATTCTATAATGCTGTAACGCTACAATATGGATCCATTTTTGTGGTTTATACTATTTAATGTGATTCGTAAGTGACCAACCTATTATATTAATTAAAGATTATTGTATTATAGGCCTGAAGATGTTCCTGTAAGGCCGAAACTAGTCGCTTCTGTATTTATTTATAATAAAATTGATTTTAAGGTTTTATACTTCAATTGAAAAAATTAGACCTTTACAGTGATTTTGTTTCATTTCCTGCATTAGACACATATAAGACGGTATTCATTTTAAAAATAGTAAAATTAGAAATTTTTTTAGTTTTTTTTTACAATTAAAACGTTTGGACAATGTGTGTTTTTATAGATAAATGATACGCCACTGAACAAGAAGGATGTTTACCTTCCCCCTTGTGCCCGCTTCCTCACTTCCTCTACAGATGTTGCTAACACAACAATCGCCTACAAACTCGTTTTCACGCTCCCTCTATTAGTAATTGCTCGGAGACTTAACTAATATGACATCTTTTTTTTTTTGACTTGTTTCACATAACATCTTCACTAACATACGCACAGAGCAATGGTATGGTAGAACGTAATATACAGACAGTAAAAAATATAATTAAAAAATATATTGAGGAACGGAAATATATTTATATGGCATTACTAAATTATAAAAACTCGTATATTGATGGAACAAAATATTGTTCAAGTAAAACCAAAAAGTTGTTGGACACCTGGAATAGTTTTATCTAAACTTAGAGATATTGTATATAAAGTAAAGTTGAATAATGGTTCGGAACTTTATAAAAATAGAAAATTTATTTAAGTTGTAAGAGCAAATGAAGAACATACAATTATTTTAAACAAAAATATTGTAGTACTGTATCACTCTTCAGTTAACATAAAGCAGAAAATAAGTAATGAAAATAAACAAGAATATGTTAGGTATTACATCGAAATAAAGAATACTGAAACCAGTGAGAACAGTGAAAGTGAAACTAGAGGAAATAATTAAACTAGTGATATGGAAGAAACAGTAACAGAAACTAATTATACAGAAGAAAAAGTAACCGAAACTTCGAGCGAATTAGCTAGTAATGTTAGTTTAAGTTCAGTTACAAATACTGATCAGGAATTAAATTCTAGTAATTTTAGTTTGTTTAGTTACAAATAATGGTGAGGTCGAAAAATCAACAGTCACAGCATCAGACAGAATAGTAAAGCCTCAAAATAAATTAAATCTATTACTGTTTATTTTTCCCCTTAAATCTGTCTATTTTGTTTTTAACTTAATATATAATTCTAGCTTATTATTTTTGTAAAACAAATGAAGATGTCATATTAGCTAAATAGTAATAACGGAACCCACCCTGCCACGTCAAGTGTCAGCGGTCATGTATTGTCAATACGGTCCAAGCCGTCAGTCTTGGTTATGTAAAGAACATGAATAAATCTATGTTACAAGTCTCTCCATATTTTATTATTAAATTACAAATATAATTAATTAACTACAAATCATAACAATATTGTCTACTAAAAACGAAAACTTATTTGTTTCTATTTCTTAGCTTACGCTAGTTCCGAGGGCTATAACTGATCCTGCGATTTTTATGTTTTAGTGTTGTCTTCTGTTCTTTTTATTATGAGGGCTATTCGTTTTCTGCTTCCTCTTCTTCTCCCTCTCCGTATGAATCATCTTTTTCAGATGCCAGTACCTCCAAATTACTTAAATCATCAAGAGTAAAAAACTTTCCATCAATTTCTAATTTATTTCCCCTAATTCTAGCTCGATTATTTTGTCTTTTAGCATTTCGAAGGTGAACTTTCAAAACTCGTTGGACTTGCCTATCCTCATAAGGTATATCATTTGCAATAGCTACACCCGAATTTTTCAGTTTTGCAGTATTTTTAAAAAGTTTTTTTTTGATATGAAGTTATTTCCAAAATAATAAGTTATTGGTCCAAAAATATTATTCAATAAGTATTATTTAGTAGATTGGATTCATCAACTTTTAAACCAAAGATTACTTCTGCATTTTTGTTCTAGGACTTTGTCAAGGACTTTGTCTTGGAGTATACCAACTTTCGTATCTACAGTTTCGACTTTATTAGACAAATCCTGTATATTTATATTAATTTCTGATTTGAGTACTTCTATATGATCCTTAATGGCTTTTATTAACAAATCGTATAGCTGAGAGTTTGATAGATCATTTGAGATATTGCCAGGCGGCATGTTAGCTGCTACTTAACGTAGTGGAATAGACAAATAATATCTTCGTATTTTATTATACCCAAGTTTAGCAAAAACCGGTTTTGACGAAATTTTCCAAATTTGACTTTATTGAACATTATTTGCATGAATTTTTCTGCAGTTTATGATGATAATTTAAATTTTACTCACAGATTTCTTTATAGTCCAATTAAATAACGAAAAAAAGCCCCTTTGAGCTTACATTAATTTGTAATTGGATGAAACAAAGTGGACTTGTGTATTTTGATGTGATCTTTCCGAAAAAAAGAAAAAAATGATGTAGCTGTTTTTCAATTTTTTTTAAATTAGGAAAAACCGGGTTTTCCGGAATTTTCCATGGTAAAAATGCTAATTATCTGGGCAAGTATCATTCTGATAGTAAAAATAAATGCACCAATCGAAAGAGGAGGCAAAAATAGTTCGGAATTTCATTGCACAGGTAGTTTTAATGGCGAATTTCTCGCCGCCAGAAGTGCCTATGAGACATATGTGCCTATGAGAGAAGTTGCGTATTTTTTTGTGGGCTCTCAAATCAAATAAGTCCTGTGGCGAAATCTGCCATAATTTTTCGGGAATTCGCAGGAAACCGGAAGGCGTAAATTTTTTTAAATTTTTTTCCCATATGATTTTCTCCGGGTTTTCCGAAAACATCTAACAAAAAATATATTTGAAGAAACTAACTGCGCCATCGGAAAGAGCACAAAAAAATATACAAAAAGGTATACTTTAAAAATGTTAGGAAATTAATCCTAAGCTTGAGTGTAAGTTCCAACTTGGTGATAAGCTTGTTTTTGTTCTCTAACATCTGGTTTTCTTCTCGGTTGATGCTCCATCCTCCTTTTTTTGGCATTGTCAATCGCGGCCCTTTTATGCCTATCCCAGGTTTTATAAATAAACTCTTTTCCGTAACGTCGAGCTACGTAATGTTTGCCACACCTTTCATGCAATATAAAACCTGGTTCTAAAGAACTAAAAAAATCATCCCCTCTCTCTTTGCTGACCATCTGCAGACCTTTCAATCCTGTCGGTCTAATTGGGGTAAGTTCACCCTCTGCAAGTTTCTGATGACATAATAAACACAGGCCAGCCATTGCAACCTGGAAACAAAAAAATTATAGCACTGTGGTAGAATTTTCTTAATTTAAGAACGTACTTACTCAATAAATTGCTGAAGAAGTCCGAAAAACCACGTGTACACAGAGCTTACTGAACACGGCTATTAAAAATCTATGCCGATGAACACTATCAAGCGATTCAATTTGTAATAATATGACCGTTTCAAGTTTAAACTTGTCGGATAGCGAACGCCGAGACCATGGCTATCCTTGATACGACGTCCGGCTAATTTTGCGGTAATTCTATTTTTTGCACAAAACTCAAGAAACGTCTTATAACAAGTCAGTAAATTACAATTTAATAAATTTTAGACCTAATGAACTTAGGTATGTAAGAAATTTAAAACTGGAAATCACAAAAAAATCAAATTACAGAAATGCACGAGTTTTGGATCCCGCGGAGCGCGTGTAATGGGACTTTTCTCGGGAGAGTTCTACAACTTAGAAGAAACATACACACTTTAAACTTTGTATACACATTCAGAAGATATGAGATTTGGGTTTGCTCAATTTTCAGACCAAAAAACTGAAAATCGTTCATTTTAGGCAACTTTTTTCAAAAACCGTTTTTTTTTTGGTCGTCACTCAATGAACAGTGGTCAAAAAAATAGATAAAATATTTTTGCAGAATTTTCCGTAATGTAATCGTATTCTAGACATAATGAAGTATTCAAAAAAAAAGTTTTGAGTCATTGGGTGCATTTTTGGCATTTTTGTGTCACTTCAAACTTTCGAAAAAAAATTTAGTTTTTTTTTAGGGAAAAAAATTTGTTAAATTGTTTGATATCTTGGCCAATTATAATCCGATTTCGATAAAATTCATACACGTATAAGATTTCATATATAAGATTAAGCTCTGAAAGTGGCATTAAAAAAAATCTAAATAGTTTGGCCGTTATAGGCAAACAATGAAATTAGGCTTGCGGTACACTTTGCCCTTCCGCCATATGTCCAATTTTGGGATTTCTCTTGTCCCCTTCTGGGAATAAATAGTCACATCCCTTAAGTTCAAAACGAATTTTTGTTTCTTCAAATATCTTAATTTTTACCAAAGTTATGAAGAATTTAGTGTTTGAACATTTAACAAATTCAATTTTTCGACCTTCGCCGACTCAAAATACTAAACAAATTTCAATCGTCTATACCGCGAGAACGATGCATCGGATCAAAATTTCTCAGAAGACATAAAAATTTGCATTTTTTCTAAGCTTTCAAATGTCGTAAACTGCGTTTTAAAAATATTGATTTATTGGCGACATGCGCATGCGCAAAATTGAAAAATTGACAAAATCCAAAATTTCGGCACTTTCGAAAAACTGCTACATTTTGTTTTGCCTTTTTTCGAAAAGATCACCTCAAAATACATAGAATCCATTTTGTTTCATCTAATTACAATTTAATGTAAGCTTAAAACCGGTAATTTAATTCGATTATTAGCAATATTTTGGTTTCACATACGTACCTACATTTACTATAAAAATTGCTCTTACTTTGGTTAAGTTTTTATTTCCTAATTTTTGGATTTATTGAGGAGCAGATAATAACGTGTATATACTGTGAATTCTAAATTGATAATCTTTGATACTTAATATGTGTTGGAGTCGATGCTTTATATTTGTCTTTCGTAGTGGACTGTATCTTATACCCAGATGGAATAAAACACCGCTTCAATTTTACCTTCTATAATGGTCAAACATGAAGAACAGAATTATTGGAATGTCTATTTTGAGTGATTAACGGATTTCAAATTATATTTTTTTTTGTTTCGTTTCCCTAGTATTTTCGACATAGGCGTATCAAAAGGTAGGTTTTGCAGTGCTCTGCAAAAATATAGATATATTGTTTATGTCTTGATACCTAGTTTGAGTCCCTAGAAGATTGTTTAATTTGTCCAGTACTTCAACCAAAAGATCCGGCTTGTTTTTCACAACCAAACCAAATATAACTATATTGTTTTTGTTTGATATTGCAATTGTGTTTAAAGAGCAAGTTCTTTTTATTGTATCAAATGGTTATCAAGCTATACATAACAATTCAAACTGCGCCATACTTGTATCAGTGACATATTGTCATCTACAATAATACACTCTGACGACGCGTTTTAATCCTCATCAAACCAACCTTCATAGTTGATATTAACCACATTCTCTCCCTTCTAGGTGTTTACGTTGTAATAATTTCACTAATGGAGATATTTACGATCAATTCGTGTGTAATAAATTTAAGTAAGCCGCTTTTCCCACGGGCTTTAATCTAATCAGAATCAAAATTTTGCCAACATCAACTCAATTACACAATCATTATGTATATTAAAAGAAGAGGGTTGGATAGTAATTGGGTATTAGGGTAATTTCGGTTTAGTATCAAGGTAATACTCGTTTCAAAAATAATATTTTGGAAGGTTTTTCAAGGAAAAATTATGTGCTGACTTACCATCGATATACATTTTCTATTTTCGCTAGCGTGGATTAGGGAAGCGTGGTCTATACTGCTGGGAAACTTTTCAATATTTCAGTTTTCCAAACGTCCATTTTATTTTCTTAAAGGTTTAAGAGTATTAAATGTCTGCTTCGGATATTCTTAATTATGTGACAATTGGGGTTTAGATAAAGTTGAAAGAAAAGGTTTTATAACGGTTGTCCCAGTATTTAAACCCTTCAATTGATAACCTCATTTCGATTAAAACTAAACACTCCGGGGATAAGAAAAGAAAGAAAGAAAGAAAGAAAGAGGTGGGATGAATTTACAAAACAAAATCTGCCGGCTTTTTCGATGCATGGCCTTTAATATCACTCGTATCCCTCCCTCTTACGTTGCTTAGCAACATTAGCGCAAATAACATTCGATTACAGTTCATCAAATTTCTAGAGGCTTTCGACGGCTAGATAGAGAAAGCACTACTGACAGGCATCCCGACGGATTTACGCAATGAAAGTACACTCTGCGTATCAAGTATTTCACTATTTCATTCAGACGTAAATGTCAGATGTAAATTTCGCTAAAACATTTCTTTTATTTTCGTTTGTGTTTTTTGCTAATTACAGTTTAATAGAACCTAAGTATGGAGTTTAATAGCAAATTAAGAAGCCGCGTGATTAACAGTCAATCTCGCGAAATAATAGCCAATGTTATAGAGTTTATGAGAAGAGAAGAAAACTTTAATTCACCTTCAATACCATTTAAAAATGTAAATGATCGTGTTGCTGCAGCCAAAGGAGTATCTAAAAACACTGTCGTCCGCATTTCTGGAGAGAAAAAAAGAATCGATAACCGTGAGATATCGGAAATTTCATCACCAAGAAAAACCATTAAAAAACCAAAAACAGTTAATGATATAGATGAAGCTGCACAAGAATCAAATTTTATTTTTTTATTATTAGATAGCTATTTTTGTTTCTGAGTTGTGTTCATTTACAGGCTCAATTTTTTTCCGTTTCTCCTTTTTGATTTTATATGGGGTTTCAAGTTGTTTTTGACTTATTTCGACGTAAATCACAACAACGCACTTTTTTAATAAAGCAAACAAGTTTTAAGAGGTATATGTACGTGTAAACTACAATTACAAAAAATTGATATGAAACCCATGAAACCACCAACAAAAATGTAAAGCTAGCTTCCGTACTAGAACATGGTGTCATTCGTCGAGATAATTTATCGTTTTGTTTAATAGATCAAGAAATGTAAATATTCCCCTGTTATTTTTTATAAAATTATAAGAGAAATAAATTTTTTTCTAAATAGTATAGTTTATTATTTTGTAGAAAAACAAAATTTCGAAAATTTTAGTAATGTTTCAGAAACAACCGTTATTAATAATAGGTACCATTTTCCTTAATAAGGT